TTCCGAATGTTGAAAAGTTTTTAATTTTTATTATCATCTGTAATTTCTAAAAATATTTTGGATAAAAAATTGTTTGTCGATTTGAACGACGAATCATATGTTTTAACATAAATAAATAAATATATAAAACTCTGCAGTTTCGCCTGTTACTTATTATTAATTTAGATAAATATCTAGATATTTATTTATTTAAATAAATATTTAGATGTTTATTTCTTTAAATAAATATTTAGATGTTTTTTTACTTATTTAGATAAATAATTAGACCTTTATTTATTTTAATAAATATTTAGATATTTATTTATTCATTTAAATACTTAGATATTTATTTATTCATTTAAATACTTAGATGTTTATTTACTTATATTAATAAATATTTAGATATTTATTTATTTATGCAAAAGGGTTAGAAAATGGTTATTTTTGCAATTAAAGCTATTTTTTGTTTCTCAAGAACTTTTTTTATTTAGAAATGAAAAATAAAGAAATTTTGGGTAATGTATGTGAATTTTTTTTATTGATATACAATTCTTGGTAGGAAGGGGGAAATTTTTTGAATCGTGAATCTTTAAAAAAAGAAAGATGAAAAATGAGGCAAGAGCTGTGGTGCAAGAGAGGAATCGAGCAATTCGCATATAGTAACTGAAGCTCGGATTTGGGACGTTCTGGCGCCTCTGTGTCTACATGGAGAAAAAGCTGCGTTTCCCCTTGTTCGCCTTTTCCAACACTACTTTCCCTATTTTCTTCATTTTTCCTTTTTATATACATGAAAACTAAATTTGATCTCCATTTTTCTGCATCAATTTATCCCAAGATTCGAAGTTTAATGACCTCGTGCATGAGCCTATTTACTGAAAATTAAATTTCTCAATCTTTTCTCTCTTTTTTTTTGTAAAATTCAAAAAAATGAGAGGGAAAAAAAATTCCATTTGGGAAATATATTGAAAATTTATTAAAATATTTGGTAATAACAATATTTTATTTTTATTATTACTTAATTAAAAATTTTTAATTTTTAAAAGTACAAAATGAGGGGAAATTAATTTCCTAAAATCGTAATTCGAAATTTACGAGAGAATTGAATATATATAAGATTGGAAATTTTTATATTGCCTTTACGTGGATTTCATGATAAAATTTTACACTTTTATAACTTTCTTCTGGAATTAATTACGTAAAAAAATATATAAAGAGTTTGATTTTACTAATTTTCTTTCATTTGGATACTTTTTTTGTTATATTATTTTTCTTATTTCTTGTTTATTATTCTTCATCCATTATTCTTTCATTATTCTTTCATTATTCTTATATTATTATTTCTTGCTATTATTTTTCTTCGATTATTATTTTTCTGCTACTATTTTCTTTCTATTATTATTTATTGTTAATAATATTATTATTATTAATATTACATTTTTAACTCTTTGAATTCAATTTTATATTCTTTTATTTATATTTTCAATGTGAGAAAATTTTTTTTTTTTTACAATGATTGCTTCTAGAAATATGAAACAATATACGCATTGATTTCTCTCAATTTCGAGGAAAAATATTGTTACATTTGGTATTTTTAGATGAATCGACTTGATTTTGATGTTTGCACTAACAAGGAAAGAGTGCAAAAATGCTTCTGATTTGTGATAAACTTCCGGCTTGATTTCCATTAGTTTCTTATTCGTGTGCCCACTTATATTATTCTGGAGACGTTTTATTTTCTTTTCCCCGCAAAGTAAACTTTATAACCACAACCATATAAACGACATTGAAATCTCTATTCTTTATAGTTCCCTATCTCAATAAAAAAAAGTACTTTGATTTATCTACCATTTCTTCAAAAAAAAAGAAAGAAAATATTTTTTTCTTCACACAATAAGTAAATAAGTGAAAAAAGTTTCTTTTATCTTGATTTTCGAGCCTTTTTTATTGTATACAAGTTTTTTTTCAAAAATAGAATAACGTAACACATTATAGCATCCAGCCCCTCAATTTTATGTTTTTTTTTCTGTATTGAAAAAAATTTCTTGTCATTTATAATTATAATATTATAATATTATTAATATTCATAAAATAATAATAAAAAAATAATATAACAGTAGGTATAATAATAATAAATAAAAAGAATAATAATGAATAATAGAGATTAATGTTAATTTATTACAATTAATTCTACATTTGATTTAAAATAATATTGAATTTCAAAAAACAAATTTAATAAAGTACTTAAAAACATTGAAGGCAAATAAATTTAGTTTAATTCAAAATGAAATGTGTATTTTAACTGCATTTGTGTAATAATTAACTTACAGTTGCATTTTAAATTCAGGAAATAGGATTAACGGTGTAATAAATTATTAACAGTTCTGTTTATAATCCCTTATTACGTAGGTTTCATAAATGAAAAATTTATCAATAGACAATTCACTTGTTGTTGATATTGTTGAGAATACTTAAGTGTATTATTAAATCTATAAAGGGTTCGAAAAATAATTTTAAAAAATATAATTTAATTGAATTTATATTTTTTTGTAAAAAAAAAATAGAAAAATAAATTTAAAAAAGTAGAAAAAAAATAGAAAAAAGAAATAAAGGAAATAAATAAAAAAAAGAAAGGGAGGAAAATAAAAAGGCTTTATATGAAAAATAAATGTATTAACTCTGGTTAAAATTTTTAGATCAAAATATTTTGGCTATTTTATTATATTTTTAGCTTTCAAGACTTATGGAATTAAAAAAAAAATGAAAAGAAAATAATTTTTATTCTGGTCTTTAAAAAAAAAAAAATGTTTCCGTTTTAGTAAAAAATATATCAATTATATAGGAATATTTTTGTTACTTTGAACAAAACTAATCGTAACTGACCTATTTTTTTCAAAAAAAGAAAATCATTGTCCACTTTTCTCTCGTAAAAAATAAACTTTTTTACTTTTATTTCTTTTTTTCTTTTTTTCTTTTTTTGTAACTTTCTACAGTAAAAGGGTGCATTTTCCTTTCTTGCTTAGTTGTAAATTTAATTCTCTTTTTAATTTTTCTATTTCGTTTAATCTTTAATATAACTAATTTTTGGAATTCAATTTACTTTTGTCATTTTATTCTTAATTTTTATATTTTTTATTCTTGACTTTTAAAATTACAATTTTTATGATTATTTATAAATTAGATATTTATAAAAATTCATTTTATAAATTTGTAAAAATTTCTTATAAATTTTCTTCGGTAACTATATATTATTATTTTCTTGCCTAAAATGGATTTGAAAAAAAATTAATTAATTAATTCTCGAAAACAATTTTTGGTGGAAAAAAATTGCAGGGAAATAATTCAATTTTTTTCGGTTGGAATTTCGATTATTTTTAATAAGTGTAAATAAAACTAAGACATTTGATAGTGAGCAATTTTGTGCATCTATAAAACAGTTTTAGACCATCAACATTTTATCTTTTACGACCTTCAGGGAAGAATCTTGCAATCTTCTGCGTAAGAATTTCACCATTTTCTTTGTTATCATCAAATTTTTTTTAGACAATTTGTTGTATATAAACTCCACTGACATTGTTATAAGTAATTCATACAACTTGGATTTTAAAACTATTTTTACTTTTTTTATTTTTATGCTCATTATTTCTATTATTATTGGGATAAAATTTTATTTTGTTATCAATAATAATTATTATTATTGAATTTTTAATTGGAATTTTAATTAGAATTGTAAAGTCTTTGACGTTACAATAGGCATCCACTATTTTATTACTATCATTATTACTATTAAATATTATTATTATTTTTGTTATTACTATTATTGTTATTATTTGTTATTCTTGTTATACTACTTTTCTTATTATGTTTTTAATTTTTTTATTAACATCTTGAATTTTTTTAAATCTACAAATTTTTTACAGTGAGAGAAATTTATCATTAGAACTATTGCTTATTATTATTTTACTATTATTATGTTTATTAATATTATTATGTTATTAAAAAAAATAAGCGCACTTTAAAAATATTGTAACTATTTTTGAAAATTTGGAGAATACTTTTCTAAATAAACAGTTATTGACAATTCATTTTTAAAGCAATTATTAATAATTAATTATTTCGATAATTATTTTAAAGTATTCTCTCTTATTATTAATTAAATTTATTTATCCTTTTTTTTTGATAAATAACAAAAAATGGTGAAAAATTCGTAAAATAATTGAATGAATGAAACTGAATAATTGGAAATTTTGCAAATTAGTTTCTTTCGTTTTGCTTTTATGTAATTTGAACAGGGAAGAAAAATTTAAAGAATTTTTCCCATCACATTTCATTTCCGTTTTATTTCAAGTATTTTAGAAATTTTTTTCTAAGCATTCTTCGAGGTGTTTTCTTAGCAAATTCTTTTAATTGATTTAAAAACAAAATTTACAATAGAATAGTACCAATTTTTGTTAGAGCAAATAATGTATTTAATTATTTTGCAAGAATTAATTTTATTAAATTATTTTTTGCAAAAAGGGGGTAAATTTTGATTTTTGTAAATTTGGGTAGAACGTGAAATTTTTTTATTGGGTATGTAATTGGAATTTTCGAATTTTATTTGAAAAATTAAATTACAACCAGAAAAAAGATATATTTGACTCAGAGCCAACAAGACATTTTATTTCTTTCAAATAAATTTTAATTTGGTTTAAATAAAAGTTTATTTGGTTCAAAGAAAAATTTCTTTGGTTCAAATAAAAGTTTTATTTCTGTCGAGTAAAATTTTTCTCCAGGTGTAATTGAATTGAATTTTAAAATTTCTTACACATTTCAATTTTATACAGATTAAATTTTAAAAATAAAATTTTTTCAATCATAAAAAAAATATTTTATTTAAAAAAAAGTTTGTAAAAAATTTTTTTTTTCAACAAAAATATTTATTTACAAAACTTTTTTAGAATAAAAATATAGTTTTAATATAAAAAAAACTTTGTTTGAAAAAACATTTTTTTAAAATAAAAATAGCGTGAAAAAATAATTACCGGAAGTAAAGAAGATATTCCTGTATTAATTTTTTGATAAAAGAGGGTTCCGCACGTAACTTTTGTTCAATTTTTGGTTCTCGATGTCTTCAAACGCCTCTCCTCTTCTTCCGGAGCACGAAGAGCACGAAACACAAAAGAATTGTTACTGCGCCTCGAACAGAAAATTGTGGGGGTTGAAAATTTTTTTCTAACACTCTTTGGATTCAAGTATTTTTTGGTACTGGCGCTTTTAGTTTGGTGGTTAGAGGGCGAGTGATTGGTGGAGCTTGCGCGCCCCACATTTATACACCAACCCCTTCCTTTCTCTTCAAAAGTATATCGCAAAGAATGATTTTGTCAAACCAACAAACTACCCCTTCTTTTTGAAACTCACAGATGTACTCCTCTTATTACGTCATCAAAACTACAAATCCACCCACATACTGTCAGCATCAGTAAAAAAAAATTCTTTTTTTTATATACAGTTATTAATGCTATATATCTATATGTATTGCTTCGAAAATGATAAAAGAATATTTCGAAGAAATTTTTTTTTCCCTCTTTTTGATATTCAAAAGTGGATGAAATAAAAGAAAGAATGTAAGAGTATTTTTAAGTGTGTTTTATGAATTAATTTTTCTTTAGACGAAATAGGTACCTTTTTATTTTTTTTAATAATTTATAATGGGAAATTATTTTTTTTTTTTTCAAAAATTAAAAATATCAAAGAAAAAATTGTTTTCTTTATTTTTGCTATTCAAAAGTTTTTGCAAGTAAAATAGAAGAATTTACAATAGATTGACGTGATTTTTATTGAATTACTTTTTTTTTTGTTAGATAAAACCGTTACTTTTTTATTTTTTAAATACTTTATACTGGTAAGATTATAATTTTTTTCAATAAAATTGAAAATTTCAGAGAGAAAATTTTTTTTTTTTTTTTGCTTTTTTAAAGTTTTTGCAAGCAAAAAATAATTATTCAAAATATATTCACGTGCTTTTTATTGAATTACTTTTTTTTTGTTAGATAAAACCGTTTACCTACTTTTTTATTTTTTAAATACTTTATATTGATAAAATTATAATTTTTTTCAATAAAATTGAAAATATCAGAAAGAAAAAAATTTTTATTATGAAAATTTTTTTTTCATGGAAAAATTAATTAATTAGCACCTATTCTAAACCTGTGATGTCATAATGTTTCAAATGCCCTTAATATATTAACTAATTAAAAAAAATTTTTTAAATCTCCAAAAATACAGAATATTAATTAAATAAATTAATAATATAATTTTTCTAATTAAAAAAAAATTTTGTACAAGCGGAAAAAAATGAAAATTTTCTCCTAAATAACCATTTTTGTAAATTTCACGCAAAATATAAATTTTTAATCATAAACTAACAATTAAATATACTGTTAAATAATTATATATTTAACAATAAATTATTTAACGAATCAAAGTAGTTTATATATACAAAATATATACACAAATTTCCGTACATTACTTAAGCTCCTTTCATGAAAGCTTTATAATCAAGGAAAACCCGGAAATATATTTTACATAAAATATTTAAAATTAATCTTTATGTAAAACAAATAATGAAAAAACTCTTTTCTCCCTTATTTTTAATTTTACTGGAAAAAAGTATAATTATATCAATTTTCTTCTTTGAAATTTTGCAAATTACATTTTTCCAATTTTTCCTTTTTTTCTATCGTTTTCAAATTATTTCATTTATCCCAGAACAAAATTAATTTCAATTTATTATCAAAAATATTTTATTTAAATTCCAAATGTATTTTATTTAAATAAAACAAAAAGTTTGATGAAAATTAAACGGAAAATATTTTCCAGAAATCCAAACAGAATTTTACCAAATAAATTTTTAAATAATATATTTTCAATAATATTATTATTATAAATAAATAATTTTTCAATAAAATTTTCATTACATTCTCCATCAGTCGGAATTTAGACAGAAATCATATTGACTTAATTCCAATTGAAAGTGGCAAATTTTTCCAAATGGGGAAAATAAAAATATGAAAACAAATAATAAATAAATTAAAATTTCATCGGAAATTTGGAAAAAATGTGTTTTGGAATTTTCATAGAATATTTCCTTCTGAATTCTTTCAAAGTTTGTTTCTTCAATAAATAATAATATCTAATTTATTGAGAAACAAACTTTGGAAAAAATCTCCGGGTAAATATTCATGAAAAATTCTAAAATATGATTTTTCCTCGAATTTTCAATAAAATTTTCATTATAATTTCCAGTTGGAATTTAGAAAAAAATGATATCGACTTATTTTCAACTGGACCTGACAATTTTTCCAACGTGGGTGAAATAAATAATTTATTGCATAATATTAATAATAAATTTGAAATTATAATTATCGTCTCATACATATAATTATAAATTCAATAATATCATTATTACTATTATTATTGTTATTATTATTATTATTATAAATGCAATCATTATTACTGCCTACATTTTTATTTTATCATTATAAATTATTTAGAAAAATAAAAATTACCAGTTTTACTTAAATAACAAATAATTAAACCAACATAAAACTATAAACTAATTATAAACTAATTTTTTTTTTTTTTATAAACTAATTCTTCTTTTTTACACCACATTTTTTGAAAGCAAAAATAAAGAAAACAATTTGTTTCTTTAAAATTTTCAATTTATTTGAAAAAAAATATAAAATTTTATCATTATAAATTATTTAAAAAATAAACAGTACCAGATTTATCTGAAAAAAATAATAATTTAATAAAAAACCCGTAAACTTATTTTAACTTCTTTTTTGCTTGTAAAAACTTTAGAAAAGCAAAAAAAAAAAATATATTTTTGAACGTGTTCAAAAATTTAGGAACAGAAAGTTTTGATTTTTGATTATAAAAATTAATTTAATGGGTTAATTAAATTGAAATATCAGTTAAGTATTAATTTAAATTTAAATAATTAATTAGTTAATTCAGAATAATTTAATATAAAAATTTGTACACTAAAAATAATTGTTTGAAGAAGAATTCATTTTTCCATTAAAAGATATTAAATATTTTGAAGTAATAAGTTTTGCGTTTATGTTCCATAAATAATAGGTAAAATTTACTCAGTAAATTTTTTATTTAATAATTAAAGAACGGAGATAAAATTGGAAAGAAAATTTAAATTTAGGAGAATTTATTGAAAATGGTATATTTATTGAAAATTTGAAATCGTAAAATTTTATGTAAAAATTAAAATGTCGCTTGAACCTTTAGCTTCCTTATAGAGGGAAGGATTTATTTAATTTTTTCTAATAAATTGTAATTTATTGTCTTTTTTTAGTTCCTTATCAAAGCATCCTCTAAAATTTTTTACCTTCCTTGCGAATTTAAAACTTAAAATTTTTTATTTCTTTTTTATTCCTAAAATTCTTTGTCTTATGGGAAAAAAAGTTATTTAATTCATTTTTCAATTGAAATATATTTATTGAAAAATAAATTTCGAAAATAATGTAATTTTTGTGCAATTTTTTTTTTTTTGCAGAAAAATATTTCTGAAGTCTGAAGTACAGGAGTATTATGACAAGGCAAGTTATCATAGGAGGACGTATATAAGTGAGTTACAAATAAATTATGAAGTTATATTAGAAATGTCACGTTTCATGAACACGCAAAATAAGAGTCTTCTGTTAAATAAATCACTTTTTTTTTTTTTTGCATAAGAAAAAATGCAAAATTTTTACCAATGGCGAAGAAATATTTTTTTATATATAGTATTTGAAATTTAATTAGAAAAAATCAAATATATTTCAAGTTGAAAAATTTCTTTTTTAAAAAAAGGAAAATACTTGTTTCTAGTTCCGTAGGCGTTTGTCGGTATATGTTCAGTTTCAAAATGAAAAGCCTTGACTAATTAGAAAAAAATCACCAAAAGGCATTTGTATTCAATTAAACCAATGGATATATATATATGCGCACTTTTCACACTATTCTCAATTTGAATAACTCTTTTTTTAAAAAATAAAACATGAAAGTCGCTACACAAAAAATACGTTTTGAATTTACATATGAAAAAAATTGTTTTATTATGTAACTATAAAAAAAATTTTGAAATTCCCTGTTGTGATTAAATTACGCCTATATAAAGAAATTTTTTTCATTTCAAGTATAAATATTTTTTACCTCCTAGAAAATAAATGTATTTCTTTAAATCGAGAAAAATATTTTTATTTTAATTCATTTATTTATTTATTTAATATTTATAGATTTTTATTTTTTTGAGGCTGAAGGTGAATTGTTTTTTAATTCTAAAAATACTTTTTTGCAAAATAATGCTTAGAACTTTATAAACTTAAATTGTTATTTTTTGAAAAATATTAAATATTTAAAATTTAAGGAAACAAAAAAATTTCCCCATAAATTGAAATGAATAATTCTTCATTATAAATATTGAATATTACAAATCAATTATAATCTGGAAAGTGACCGACAATTAACACGATTGAGTTTTGATTTTCTATCCGGAGGGATATTATCGACATTATTAATGTGACTTTTGGAAATCAGCCCCATTTTATATCAAATAATCCTGACCTCCAGGGGATTTTATTTCCACGAATTTATAATTATTTGGAAAAACAAAAGAAAAAATAAAATTATAGGTACGGGGAAGAAAAAAAATTTTTTTTTCGTAATAATGAATCACTTTAACGAATATGTAAACACATATGTAAACACACTTAAAAAATTATTTTAACAATATTTAATTTCATACACATGATAAATGAATGATTTTTTTTACTAAAATAATTTTTTTTAATTTAAAATTACTTTATGAAATAATTAATTAATTAATAATTATTTTATAACTTATTAATAACTAATTACCCAGTTGAAAAGTTAGAAAATTTCTATAGAATTCTACTAGAAGAATTTGATAGAATTTCCATATTCTGTTCACTTCATTTCGCTTGTGAGCGAATTTTGATGCCGTCTAGGCGGTAATTTAATTAACTATATTGTCGGAAAATTAAAAAAAAAAGGCAAAGAAATATTGAAAATTTTTTATTTAATTTTTAAGTACTCTAAAGTTTTATTTATTTATTTATTTATATTTATTTTTTAATATAAATTACATAACAATCGAAAAAGTAAATAAAAGTAATATGTTCTTTTCATTTTGCAATAGTTTGAAACCATTCAATTTTTACATTAAATTTATAATGAGATTTAATCATTATAAGAGTCTTATAGAAAGAAAACCGAGAATCGAGAGAAAAATGAGTTTTTAAAAATGAATTGGATGTCATTTCGTGTTTCTATTCGAATTATTATTATTTATGTGTGTTAAAATTTTCTTCGTATTTTAAATTTATTTTTCACTTATTTTCCTGTTTTTTATTTTCTGTTTTTTTTTTTTTGTAATAGATTGAGAGAATTTCGAACCCACACTTATTATGATGATTTCTTATATTCAACACTGATTTTTTGAACTCGTGATAGATATAAATTTTGAGAAAATGGAAAATAGTAAATGGAAGATTTTCACAATCATAAATATAGAAAGGTCGAGCGATTTTATAGTGAATAAGTTTTGAAATCGAAGTATACAATTTAATGGAAGTAAACTCTTTTTCAAGGAAATGAATTTCAAAAACAAGAGTTTTTTTTAATTAAATTAAAAAATTTTTTCCAAAGGTTTTCTTCTTTTATTATTTATATTGTAATTATTTTATTTTTTTTTATTTTGTTATTTTGTTTTTTTATTATTTTATTATTTTATTATTTTTCTACTTTATTATTTTGTTATTTTACTCTTTTACAATTTTATTAAGTATTTTATTATTTTTATTACTTTGTTATTTTAGTATTTTGTTATTTTGTTAATTTACTATTTTTTTATTCGTTTATTTCAGTTTAAACGGGCAGAAAACAAATTATTTAACATTTTTTTACTTTACCATTTTATTTAATTAATTTTATTAGGTATTTCATTTTTTTTTTATTTTTTTTTTTTATTTCGTATTTTGATATTTTGTCGATGTACTATTTTTTATTTCTTCATTTTAATTTAAACAAGCAGAAAACAGATTATTAAATATTTTGTTACTTTTCTCATTTACTATTTTATTACAATTTATTTATATAAAATAAACGAGATAAGTTCTTTTGTAAAATTTATATTTTATTATTTGGTTACTTCATTTTTTTCTTATTTATTAAATTCTTATTAAATTATTAAATTCTTATATATTCTTTATTAAATTCTTCTTATTAAAATAACTGTGGAAAAATTAATTTTTAAATAATTTACATATTCAAGAATATATTTATAAAATAATAATGTGAAAATTGTATTTTTAATCTATTTCACTTCGGGCGGGAAAACTTCTTAGTAACCCTATGCCATAAAAGGCAGTTTTTTATGCAAAAAAAAAATAATTTTTATTCACGGGACTGGAAAATTTAATAAACAATGTAAATATATACTAAATTCTCTCTCTCACGTAATTAAAAACCTCCTTCGCTTATTATATGCAATAAAGATATATTTTCATTACATATTTCACATAATCTAACAGCATTGTATGGGAAACTCTTAAAATTCTATATCATTAAATTCTAAACAATTTCAACTTAAATTCCACGCTTTAGATAAGTTTATATTTTATAGGAGGTATTTTTAAGAGAAAACTTGCGGGGGAAGAATTAAAAATCAAATTTTAGTTTTTATTAACTTCGCAAATAGAGTTTAAAAAATAAATAGATTTTTAGAAATTATATTTAGAAATGTAATTTCTAGAAACAAATTTTTTAGAAATAAATTTCGTAGAAATAAAAATTTTAGAAAATAGTCTTTTAAATTTGCATTAGTAAACATTTTTACTAATTTAAATTTAGAGAGTAGAATTTTTAGAAATATACTTTTTGGAAACAGATTTTTTTAGAAATAGATTTTTTACTTTGTTAGTTAATTGATTTTATCTTTCGAATAAATTGAAGTGGATAAGGAAAAATTAGAGGGAAAGGAAAATATTTTGCATTTTTAGTTTTAATTTTGCTTATACTTTGAAAAATAATTTATATTTTATAAAATTCTTTTCAAATTTGATTTCTTTGTTTCGTCGAAACAGAAAAGTTTCACTTTACAAAATAGTTTTTTTTTCATCGTAATGATAAGATATTGATGGATTAATGGGAAAAGTTGTTCGGTAAATTCGTCCTTATTCGTTCATTCATGAAACTTTTCCACTTGAAGTTTATTATTGGCCAATTTTTTTTAAGTTTAGTGATTTAAAAAAATTTGCTGTTTATCTTTTCTTTTATTTTATTTACTGATGGCAAATTAATAGAAAATGAGATAATTTATAAGAAAATAATTTCTTTGAATCTGGTAATTCTTTTTTTATTCTTCTTTGATCAATTTCATTACGTAGTTAATGTCAGTTTTCTTCTTTATTTTGCGATTTTAATTAGTTAATTGAGAATAAGAAGAAAATGAAAAAAAAAATTAATAATTTGTTTATTTTTTCGATTTCAACAATTTTCGTATATTCAAAAAATCAAGTTTGTCAATTGGTAATTAATTGTTGCTATTTTTCTCGTTGATAATGAATCTGAATAACGATAATAATAATAATGATCAAAGAGGAGAAAACAATTAAAAAGTAATTATAAGAATCAAATGTAAAATAATAAATAAACGTTGAAAAAACGACTTTTTAATTTGTCGATAATATATGGAATTAAAAAAGAGATAAATGAATGTAGATTAAAGAACAATTGAAAGAAATAAAGAAGGGAAGATTTTATATTCACTTTGAAAAATAAATTTTTCGAAAATGACATTTTGTGAAATAAAATTCTGTATATTCTACTTTCATTTAACGATCGTCGTTTGTAATATAAGAGTCTTTTGTTTCTAGAGCACGAATAATTTTAACTTTTCTATTTTCTTATGTAACACGATCATAAGAAATGATCTAAAATCGTACCTTAACTTTTTAGGGTTTCATTAATTATTAGCAATTTCTATTCTTAATTTCTGTTTCCAATTTCAATTTTAAAAGATATTATTATTATAAATTTTTAGATTAATTTTATTGATGTTAATATTTTTATGGTTGAATTGTTATTTAATTGAATTAATTACAGTTAATTTTTATTATAATTTAATTAAATTAATTAAATTTAATGTTTGTTACAATCTTTATTGAATTAATTATAATTAATTTTCATTACAATTTAATTACAATTAAAAGAATTAAATTTTTTTTATTTATTTATTTCATTTCAAAGAATTCTAGAATTTTCTTTCATTTTTTTTTTTGAGATAACTGAAAAAAGGTTCATTTTTTTAATAGTTATTAAAAAAAAGATTATTACTTCATATGTAAAAATAACGTGACATAAAATGACAAGCTATTGTACTTTCTTTTGACCTAATCAAAAACTTGATTTAAAATTCAATTTTCTTCAAGTTTAGAGAGACAATATTGAAATCTTTAAATTTGAAAAATGAAAGAACAATATAAATGAACGATTCGAAAAGTCTTTTTATTGTTTAAATTTTATTACTATTAGAATAGACGTTGTTTTAGTTGATTAATTAATAAACCAACCGTTTGCTTTTTAATTATTTTTTTTATTTAAAAATTTTTTATTTAATTTTATATTTAATAATAAACAAGTAATCGTTTGTTGGAATCAAATAAATTTTCTTTTAATCCAAAAAAAATTTCTAAAGAACGAAAAATTTTCGTAAAGAAATTACAAATTGAAGGTAATGGAATTTAATTAAAAATAAAGCAATGAAGGAACAATTAAAAAATAAAAGTCATAAGATACAATTTCGAAGAAAGAGGAAAAAATGTAGCATTAATAAAGTAAGAAGTTAATTATTTATATGGTCAGTTTAAATGCTATTAATTATATAATTGTATACATAGTAGATAAAGGAAAAAAAATCTTTGTCAATTATATTACGAATGGATTATAGATGGGACTTGTATTATTCATCTATCAATACACTCGTAAACTTAAGACATTTTAATACATTTCTATTTATTTTATACTGTCATTAGTTTTAAGATAAGATAAAAATAAATTTGAAAAATTGTGATTAATTTCATGAAGTAAAATTTTGTATTTCCAAAGTTATAGGAATAGTTCTTTGAAAGTCATTGTCAAGTTATTTGTATAATGATGTAAAATATTTTTATTTTTACGAACCATTTGTAAATTCTATTTATGTAAAAAAGTGGATAATTTTTTTTTCTGTAAGAGAAAAATTTGTTGTCTCAAAGAGAAATTTTTGCTTCCTCATATAGAGGAAGTATTCATTACTATTTTTATTCAGATTTTTATTTTTCAAAATTTTCCTATAAAAACAGAAAGAAAATATGAAAGGTGTACTCCACAGTGGAATTGTAGAAAGAAAAAAGAGAATTTATTTGCGACAGTTTTTTTCTATACTGACAGGTGAGATTTTGATGTAATTAGAATTTTTAATTTTTCGTTTGTTATGTTAATTTTATGACAACAAGTGAGATTTTTGGTGAATTTTTTTTGTGACAAATGAAAATATTGTGGAAAGTAGATTTTATGTCAAGAAAGAGATATTTCAAGTGAGAATTAGTGGTAATTTAATTTAGTCAAGAAAATTTTGTCAAGTGACTTTAATCGAGAAAATTAAGTCATGTGAATTCAGTCAAGGGCAAATTTAGTCGAGCAAAAGTCAAGAGAATTTAATCACGAATATTTAGTCCAAAGAATTTAGACTAGTGAATTAAGTGAAGAAAATTTATTCAAGTGAATTTATTCAAGAAAATTTAGTCATGTGAATTTAGTCAAGTGAATTAAGTCAAGAAAATTTTGTCAAGTGAATTTAGACAAGTGAATTTATTCAAAGGAATTTAGTGAAGAAAATTTAGTCAAGTGAATTTAATAACAAAAATTTAGTCCAGAGAATTTAGCCAAGTGAATTCATAGTCAAAGGAATTTAGTTCAAGTGAATTAAAGAACGAAAATTTAGTCCAGAGAATTAAGCCAAGTGAATTTATAGTCAAAGGAATTTAGTCAAGTGAATTAAGTCAAGAAAATTTTGTCAAGTGAATTTAGACAAGTAAATTTAGTCGAGGGAATTTAGTCAAGAAAATTTAGTCAAGGGAATTTAGTCAAGTGAATTTAGTCAAGTGACAAATAAAGAAAATTTAGTCCAGAGAATTTAGTCAAGTGAATTTATTCAAGAAAATTTTTTCAAGTGCATTTAGTCAAGAAAATATAGTCAAGTGAATTTAATAACGAAAATTTAGTCCAGAGAATTTAGCCAAGTGAATTTAGTAAAGAAAATTTAGTCAAGTGAATTTAATGACGAAAATTTAGTCCAGAGAATTTATCCAAGTGAATTTATAGTCAAAGGAATTTAGTCAAGTGAATTAAAGAACGAAAATTTAGTCCAGAGAATTCATCCAAGTGAATTTAGTCAAGAAAATTTTGTCAAGTGAATTTAGTCAAGTGACAAATAAAGGAAATGTAGTCCTGAGAATTTACCCAAGTGAATTTAGCGAAGAAAATTTAGTCAAGTGAATTTAGTCAAAAAAATTTAGTCATGTAAATTTAGTTAAGAAAATTTATTTGTGTGAATTTAGTCAAGTAAATTTAGTCCAGAGAATTTAGCTAAGTGAATTAAGTCAAGGGAATTTAGTCAAATGAATTTAGGCTCGAAAATTTAGTTCAGAGAATTTAGCCAAGTGAATAAAGTCAAAAAAATTTTGTCAAGTGAATTTAGACAAGTGCATTTAGTCAATAAAATTTAGTCAAGAAACTGCTGTCAAGTGAATTTATTCAAGAGAATTGAATAAATTCTTGACTCTGTTAAGAGAATGTAGTCCGTTTATTTAGTCTAGTGAATTTAGCTAAATAAATTTTTGTCAAGTGGATTTATTTAAGAAAATTTAGTTAATTAAATTTGGACCGAATATTTAGTAAAGTGAATTTAGTCAACGCAATTTGGTCAATTAGTTTTAGTTAAGTAGATTTTTGTAAAGTGAATAATTTATTCAAGCGAATTTAGTCCATTTCTTTAGTCAAGTGAATTCAGTCAAGTAATTTTAATTAAGTGACTTTAGCCAAACGAATTTATAGTAATAGAATTTATAATTTTATACTCAAAGAAATAACAAGCAAAGTGAATTTTATACTAAGTCGGAATTATGACAAGTGAATTTTTTGCCAAGTGAATATTATTATAAGTGGGAATCACTTCAAGTGAGTTTTATCACAAATGAAAATAACAAGTGAATTTTATGCCAAGTGGGAATTACTTGAAGTGAAATTTGTTGAATTTAAGTTTTTTAACATTAAGTGATATTTTTCGTAAATAAAATTTCGTGTCAAGTGAATTTTACATCAAGTGATAATTATGGGGTATAAAATTCGTGTCATGTAAATTTTGTGTTAAGTGATATTTGTGGCGAATAAAATCTCCTGTGAAATTAATTTTTCCTTCAAGTGCAATTTGCGTCAAGCGAATTTTACGTCAAGTGATATTTATAAAGAATAAAATTTCATGTTAAGTCGATTTTTGTCAAGTGATATTTATGTCGAATAAAATTTTTTGTTTAGTGAATTTTTGTCAAGTGATATTTATGTCGAATAAATATTTCATATGTTAAGTGAATTTTTGTCAGGTTAATATTTATGTTGAAGAAAATTTCATGTTAAGTGTATTTTATATCAAGTGATATTTATGGCAAATAAAATTTCATACCAAGTGAATTTTATGTCAAGTGATGTTAAAATTTCATTTTAAGTGGATTTTTTATCAAGTGATATTTATGGTGAATAAAATTTCATATGAAGTGAATTTTAGGTCAAGTGGTATTTGTAAAATATTCGTCTTTGAATTTTCATTTGGAAGAAAAATCTCATAAACAAAATTCTCATTTGTTGTAAAAATTAGTGTTAAAAAAGAAAATAAATATTTGTAAGTAATTATTTGCAAATAAATGTTAATAATCATTTGCAAATAAATAACTGCGAATTAATTTCCAGCAATAAATTTTTCTGAGAGAAATTCTCCTTTTCAACAGGCTACATTTTATTAATAGACGTGGGAGCACAACTCTCGTGGTCATCGCCAGCACTGCCATATTTATTAGATAAAAATAATTCCAAATTCTCGATAACATCGGACCAGGGAGCATGGGTCGCTTCTATTGTTTCTCTCGCGGGTATCGCCGGCTACGTGGCAATTCCCCTTCTAATGGACCGAATTGGACGTAAATTGACTCTCTTTATCTTTGCAATCGCTCATCTAATATCTTGGATATTAATTTATCTTGCGAGTAATTATAATTTTTTACTGGCAGCAAGATTTTTTGCCGGTTTCAGTTTAGGTGGTAGTTACAGTTTTCTTCCACCCTATATCGGCGAGATTAGTGGAAAAAATTCACGAGGCTTATTCATTGTTTTCAGTGGTGTTTGCATGAATTTGGGTAATTTTCTCATTAACGCATTGGGCGCATTTTTGAATTATGAAACAATGAATATTGTCATGATATCATTGCCACTGATTGCAATTTGCTTTTTTCCGTTAATGTTGGAGACACCCTATTTTTATTTGATGCGAAATGAAGAAACAAAAGCAATTGAAATACTTATGAAATTAAATGAGACGAGCGAGAGGAAAAATATAATGATTGACATTGAAAGAATGAGGAGTGCAATGATTTTAAATGAAAATTCGGGGAAAAATGGTTTTTATTTGTTATTCAGCGATCGTGGCAGTAGAAAGGCGTTGATTATTATAATTCTGTCGAATGTCACATTGGCATTTAGTGGTTTAGTTGCGATACAAACTTATTCGCAATCTATTTTTAAATTAAGTGCCGCCTCGACTACATTAGACGCAAAATATGCGGCAATGATAATCGCTGGTGTTCAGATATTTTCACGTTTGCCTTCCACTCAATTAATTGATATTTGGGGTAGAAGACCGATTTATTTATTTTCTGGTATAATGTCGGCAATATTCCTGACAGTTGTGGGTTTTTATTTTTTTCTCGAGAAATATCCCGTTATTGATGTCACGTCTATTAGTTGGCTACCATTGGTTGGCTTGATTTTATATCAGTTTATGTGTAATGCTGGTATTTACACGCTTCCAAATGTTTTTATTGGTGAACTCTTGTCGGTTAAAGTTAAGGGAGCGGCAATAATGATTGCTTCAATTGTCATGGCTATTTCTTTTTTTATCACGAAAATGATGATACCATTGTTGAATAATTCATTGGGTATTTATACGACATTTTGGATTTTTTCATTTGTCTGTCTTATTGGACCAATTATTATTGTTCTCATAACGCCTGAGACAAAGGGTAAAAATTTAGAGGAAGTTTTGGAATTAATGAGGAAATAATTGTTCATTTTTTTTTCTTTGAAGGGGGAATTTAATAAAAATTATTGTTGAAAATATTTTGAAGGGGGGAATTTAATAATAATTATTGTTGTAAGTATTTTTAATATTTAATTATTTTTTGAGAAAGGAATGATTGTTTTCCTTAGATTTTGAATTTTAATCAGTGAAATTGAGTTGAAAACGAGGTTAAAAATCTGTTTAATTGAAAGGAGTGATATTGACTGAAATCAAAATCAGAAACGAAAAAAGTAGATTAGTTATAAAATAATTAATTTTATACGTTTTGTAAAAAAAAAAATAAATGATAATACTGCCGAAATAAATGTTTATAAATAACCAAAAGCTTTATTTTAATTCAATTCCATTACTTTTAATGAAAAAAAAATATTGTCTTAATTTAGTTTCAATTTTTCTTCGTTTCTTATTTGTTATATTTTGTTATTTATAAGCAAATAAATACATATTTATTATATGATACCAAAGTTTTGAACGAAACTTCAAATGAACGAAATATTTTTCATTAAAAATATTTTTATAAATTACTGATTGTAATAAAAATTGTAAACCTAAATAATTTATAGAAACTTAATAATTAAATTTTTTAACATTGGACACAAAATTATTGTAATATAAAAATTTAATTTACAGGAGAAATAAATAAATTTAGTTCGTTTGAACACTCAAAAGTTTAAGAACATTTTATTATTTGTTTATTTGCTAATTATTATTATTTGTTACTAATTAATTATGATTTATATATTTTTTATTTATTTGCTTTTTATTATTTATTATTTATTCTAAGTAAAAAGTTTGAAATTATCTAATATTTATTTATTATATCTTATCTAATATTTATTTATTTATTTGTTTATTTAATTACACGAGTTACTAATGTTTGAAAAAAATTAAATTCAGACTTAAGTAAAAAAAATAATTTTGCTTTATATAGTTGAAATTACATAGAAAGCAGAGTAAATATTAATAATATAGAAATATTTCGAAACAATGTCATTAATTGTTTAAATCTTCGCGACTTTAATGAAAGGTTATCTAAAAATGGCTTTGAGAAGCGTGGATAGTATTAAATTTCTATATATATACAGGGGAACCCAAACAAAAGACAAGCATTTTCATTCATTGTTAATAACAAATAAGACGAAATTTTTTTAATTTTTGGACTTTTTTTCTCAAAAAGAAAGACAAACAGTATTTTCCAATTATTTTTAATTTGAATTTATAAAAAAAAATGGCCGATGTTAAGAATGAAAAAATTGAACTTACCGAGGGAAAAGGAGTTTTTCTAGTACAGTTTCTTTCGATTTTAAGTGGTGAGTGTCTAATTACAACTATTTAATTATTATATTATCAAGCAGCTATTTACGTTAAAATGTTCGAAATTGAAAATTTCAACAAGTAGCAGTATTTCGATGCATTTATTTTTTACTTATTCATTTTACTATTATTTTTACTATTTACTTTTTGCATGTTGTGCTCTTTTTAGACAGTGAAAAAGAAATATTTATTTTGCTTATTTAATTTATTTACTTTCAGTAAATAAATAAACAAATAAATTTGTTGACTACGAGTCATTATATGGTAAATAAATAAATTTTTATTGAATAAACATTTCTTAAACGGAATAATTTTTATTTGCATCGAATAAAATTCTGCAAAAGTTAAAAAATTATTAACAAAGAAAATAAATAATTCAATTATTGATAAATTGAATAAGAAAAATTAATAAAACTTGAATAAAATAATTTTTATTTGGATGAGCAAAAAATATTCGCAAACAAAGTAATTTTTATTTGAATAAATAAGTAAATTATTAATGAAGAAAAAAATAATCCAATATTATTGATAAATTAAATAAGAATAATTAATAGAACACTTGAGTAAAATAATTTTTATTTTATGAATAAAAAATATTCTCAGGCAAAGTAAGTTTTATTTGAATTGAATATTAGAAACTAATCAAATAAATAATTATTTCTTTAGAAAATATTCCTACCAAAGGTATTTTTCAATTGTATTACAAATTTCCAAATAAAAATTATTCATATATAAAAATAAATTAAACTTGAATAATGTAATTTTTATAATTAGTTTCAATACAAAGTATTTAAATAATTTATTACTATTTGAATCAAACGAAGTATATTTTAAGCAATTTTTTTATTTGAAACAATTCTATTTAATTGACTGAAATTATATTTATTTAAATAAAATTTATTTACAGGGTTGCCACAGGTCAGGGAAGTTAGGGAATTCAGGGAAAAGTCAGGGAAAGTAAAATTGGTCAGGGAAAAGTCAGGGATTTTTAGTAAAAGTACTGGAAAAAAATGAATTTTAAATACTCATGAAAAAACTCTGAATTTTGATGTTTTTTTTTGTTTGCCTCGTAAACTATGAAATTATCACGAATTTTAATACAAAACCTTGAATTTTTTCTATTTTAAACAATAATTTCTTTTTAAATAACTTAATTTAAAAAAAAAATTTAACAAAGTTCTTTTTAAGAATTCAATTATTTTTAGAAATAGTAAAATTCTTCACCGAAATTCAATTATTTTTAAAAACTTGAATAAAATTCGTTGCAAGAATTAAATTATTTTCAAATATAATAAAATTCTTCACCGAAATTCAATTATTTTAGAAAAATTTTAATAACATTTTTGTGAAAATTTTTAATTATTTTCATAAATAATAAAACTCATCGCAGGATTTTAATTAATTTTTGATACAATAATTCATTCAAATTCCTGGATAAATGTAATAATTATTCTTAAAAATTTCATTAAAATTTGTCAAAATAATTGAATTATTTAAAAATTTCTTAATAAAATTCTTTATGAGAATTCAATTTTAACAAAAAAATAATTATTGAATAAAAATGACTTATTTTTTAATTGAAATAATTGAATTCTTTTAGAATTTTTTATAAAAATTTATTATAAAATGAATTACCGAATAATTGATTTATTATTTATGAAAATAATTGAATTCTTGCGAAGGATTTTATTAGGATTTTTGTAAATAATAAATTTTTTTTGAAAAATTTCATGGTAATTTAAATTATAACAAAACATGAAGAAGTATCTTATAAATTGTTAAATTTCAAAAGGTTTGAATTTGAATGTATTGAAGAATTTTAATTCCCACGGAAAAATAATAATGATTTTATATTTATTTAAAAAAGAAATTGTTGATGTTTTTAAATAATTTTACAATTAATGAAATTTGTAAATAAATGTAATAGAATATTTTTTTGAGTATCTAATAATTTTTAGAGTGAATCAGAATATTCTTTAGGGTCAGAAAAGTGAAAATTTTGTCTGGAAATCAGGGAAAAGTCAGGGAAAAATAAAATTAAATATTTGCGGCAACCCTGGTTTACTATTTTAGAATAATCAGGTATTTATAGTATTGCTTTAATTTATTTACAATAATAACGAGATACAAATGAAATAAAAATAATTCTCGTACGATACTTTAGGATGTTAGATTTAAATATAAAAATAAGTGTAATTTTTTGTACGAATTAAAAATAAAGGTAATTTGTTGTCCGAATTAAAAATAAATGCAATTTATTATTCGAATTAAAAATAAATGCAATTTGTTGGCAGAATTAAAAATAAATGCAATTTCTTGTCGGAATAAAAATAAAAAATTTAATTAAACAAAAAAAGAAGTAAAAATAAGTAATAATAATAACCCGTGTAGAAATTTCGCTATGGCCCAGATCAGGGACAGATCGGGCCTTCCCTATTAGGGAATGAAACACATGGCCCGACATGGCCCTGATCAGGAAATCAACATTTGATCGTCGCCCCAATCTGGCCCAGGTCGGGCCGTGTGTTTCATTCCCTAATATGGCCATAGTAGGGAAATTTCTAAACGGGAAATACAGTTGAAAATAAAAAGTAAATGAAAATAACTCTTGCAGGTTACTTTATGATGTTAGATTTGGGCGCACAATCAGGATGGCCCTCACCTGCAGTACCATATTTACAAAGTAAAAATTCCAATTTCTCGATGTCGAAAGCAACAAGTGCTTGGCTAGTGTCAATGATCAATATTTCGGGAATAATTGGTGTGATTGTCGCCACAATTCTTATGAATCAAATTGGTCGACGTTTGACACTATTTCTATTCACTCTCCTTCAATTACTGGCATGGATTCTCACTTATTTGGCTGAAAATTATTTTTGCCTATTTCTCGCGAGATTTGTCGTTGGTCTAAGTGCAGGTGCACCATTTGTCGTATTACCCGTTTACATTGGTGAAATATCACATAAAAACTATCGTGGTACTCTACTGTCACTGGATAAATTATTCTTGAGTATTGGTACATTTGTTATCAATGCTCTCGGTATTTTGGAATACAGAATGATGAATATGATAATGATTGTGGTGCCGATTTTTTCACTTTGTCTATTTCCGTTGATTACGGAGACACCTTATTATTTATTGATGAAGGAGAGGGATGATGAGGCGGTGGAGTGTTTGATGAAATTGTCGGGAGTGAAGAAACGGGAATTGGTAATGAATGATTTGATGAGAATGAAGGAGGCTGTTTTGGAGTGTAAAAAGTGTGAGAAGAACAGTATTCGGGAGGTGTTTAGTGATAGGGGGAGTCGAAGGAGTTTGATTAGTTTTATAATTGCTGAATTGACATTTGTGTTTTCGGGTTTGATTGCTATTCATGCGTATGCACAGGAGATTTTTAGTTACAGTGGATCGTCATTGAGACCTGTTTATGCGTCGATGATTATGTCGGGAGTGCAGATTGTTGCCGGATTACCGTCTTCGAGATTTAGCGATAAATTGGGTAGAAGACCGATTTATTTGATTTCGGGTTTAACGACGGCATTCACACTGGGAATGGTGGGTTTATTTTTTTTCTTGAAGTATTATTTGTTGATGAATGTCTCGAAAATTAGTTGGTTGCCATTGGTGGGATTGATTTTTTATCAGTTCACGTGTAATATTGGTTTGACGACGATACCATTTGTTTATTCGGGTGAACTTTTTTCGATTAAAGTTAAAGGTGTGGCTATTATGATTTGTGCAATTATTGGCGCGATTGGATCGTTCACGACGAAAATGATGATTCCGTTTGTTAATGATTTGGCTGGAATTTATACGACTTTTTGGATTTTTGCGGGTGCTTGTGTTGTTGGACCGATTTTGTTGGTTTGCACTACACCGGAAACTAAGGACAAGACACTTGAAGAGGTTTTGGAATTGATGAGAGATGGGAGGAGGAAAATTAAGAGGAAACAATGTTTTGTTACTTAGAAATTGTTTTTCATTGAATGGAATTTAAATGATTCACTTGTTCTGGAGATTAATTGAACGGATTTTTTTTTTCAAAAATTACTGAATGCGATAAAAATTTAAAACTGTAAATTAAATACCTACTTTCAACCTTTGTAATTTAATTTTTTGATACGTGATAAAAATGTTATCAAAATTTGAAAATGAATGAATTAATGAAAACATTAAATGAGAAATAAATATTATTCATTTGTCACAACCCCAGGAGCATGAAATTAAATTTTTCGTTCTGATACCAAAAAATGAAAACCATGATCTGAGAATATTAATTTAAGAAATTAATAATTGGATATTTAATTTTTAATTAAGGGAATAAATTATTGAATGTTGGAGTATTAATTAAGGGAATTGATTATTGAATGTTCGATTATTAATTAAGGGAATTAATTACTGAATGTTTGAGTATTAATTAAAAGAATTAATTATTGAATGTTTGAGTATTGATTTATGTAATTAATTATTAAAGATACTTTTATTTTTTAAGAAAATTTGTCAAAATAATTATTGTGGATCAACGTCTTTGGTATGATTTTCTCGATCAAAGAATTGTATTATTAAATTAAATTCTGTTCTTTCATCTCCTTTATCTTCTTTACTATCTTCCGAAATAAAATAATAAAAATAAAAAAAAATAAATAATAAATAATGAAAATCAAGAAAATAATAAATTAAAAAAAGAGAAAAATAATTAATAATAAATAATAAAAATCAATAAAAAACTATTCTTATCTTCATTAATAGCTACATCAAAAAATAAAATATTAATAAAAATGAAAGAAATGTTAATAAATAAAAAAAATAAAAATATTAAAAATGAAGCAATAAATAACTTTAGTAGATCGATATTTATTATAGAAAAAAATTATTAACTATTATTGTAAGTCCGTATATTGTTTTAAATAAATATTAGTAAAAAAAATCATGTTTATTTTCTTTAATTACTTCACTAAAAAAAATAAATAAATAATTAAAAGCAATAGGAGAATTTTGCTAATTTTGCAGCATAAACAATTTATTTTTACGCAATCTAAAATTCAGTCAATTATAATTCGAAGTAGAAATTATCGCGTATTTTTCAATTAAGATATATATTTTAATATGCAGATTTGATAGGAAAATAAAAAAGAAATAAACACACACACAGCACTTAAAAATAAGCAAAAAAAAGAAAAAATTGTAGCAATGTCTCCAAAGGTTGTGACATAAGACAAATCTTGCCATTAATTGATAGCAGTTTAATTCTACGTGTCATTTAATATTTGTAAAGACGAAAAAGAATACTGACATTCTAATTTTAAAGGGGAACGTTGGAAAAAAAATAAATGGAAAATTAAAAATTTATTTTCAATTTAAAAATATTTATTGAAAGTGAAAATTGTGTTAATAAAAATCAATGTATTTTGACGAAAAATAATTTTCAATTTAGCGTTGCAAAAAAAAGGAAAACTTTGGAAAGTATTCTCGAGAAACTATTGTAATTAATTCCCTTAAGAATCAAATTTCACAATGAGTCTTTGTAATTCATGTTCAAATGGTGAGGACAATAAATTGGAGAAAATTGAAAATGTTCCAATTAAAGAAATTCAACGGGGGAGAAAGGCTCATTTTGTACAATTTATCACTATTATTAGCGGTAAGTTTTTTTAATTTTTGTGTGAATATTTATTTTTGCTTTGGGAAAAATTTTTTAGCCTTTGATTAAGGAAAAAAATTTTCTGAAATGTTTATTGTAACTGAAATCAAACATTTGTCCTCGTATTTCTTTTTATTTTTCTTCCTCTTTATTTATTATTATTATTATTATTATTATTTTATTTTTTAAGTATTTATTTCCATTTCTATTACTATTTCTATTATTATTTTTATTGTTATTGTTTTTCATTACTCTTATTGTTTTTTTTATTTTTATTACTGTTATTATTACTTGCCTATAATCAAATAAATATTTACTTGAAAAAAATAATTTTTATTGAAATTAAATAATTTACTGTTTTGAATAAGTAGTTTCAGTATTTGAAGCAAATATTATTTAATTGACTTAAATAAAAATTATTCGATACAAATAAATTATTTATTTGATTAATCGACAAGTTATCTGTTATTTGCACAGGGTTGCCACAGGTCAGGGAAATCAAAGAATTCAGGAAAAAGTCAGGGAAAGTAAAATTGGTCAGGGAAAAGTCAGGAATTTTTTTTTAAGTAACTGGAAAAAATTGAATTTTGGAAAAGTTACAAATGATTGCAGAAATTCAATTATTTTCAAAAGTAATAAAATTCTTCGCAAAAATTCAATTATGTTCAAAAATTTAAAAAAATCCTCATAAAAATTCAATATTATCTTTAAAAATAATAAAATTCTTCTCCAAATTTCAATTATTTTCAAAAATTTTAATAAAATTCTTTGTAAAATTTCAATTATTTTCAAAAAAATTTTCTCAATTTAATGATTTTCAATATCTACAGTTTTAATAAAATTTTTCAAAAGAATTCAATTATTTTCATCATAGAATTTCAATTATTTTTAATACAATTTTAATTGAATTCATCGAAAAATTTAATTATTCTTGAAAATTTTATTAAAATTTCTCGAAAAAATTCAAATTTGTTGATAAAATTCTTTATGATAATTTAGTTTCGAAAAACATTAATTTATTCAATAAATTATTTATTTTTCTATTTAAATAATTGAATTTATGTAGAATTTTCCAATAAAAATTGATTTGAAAAAAAATATTAGTTAAAATTTTAGATAATAAATAATTGAATATTAAAAGCATTATAGCATGAATTTTTAAAAATACATAATATTCTTTCGAAGAATTTTAACAAAATTTTTGAAAATAGTGACATTTTTTGAAGAATTTACTTAAAATTGTATTAAAAATAATTGAAATCCTGTGAAGAATTTTATTAATTTATGAAAGTAATTGAATTCTTGCAATGAATTTTTTCAATTTTTTTTTTTTAATTGAAATAATGTAAAGAATCTTATTATTTATGAAAATAATTGAATTCCTGCATCGAATTTTATTACATTTTTTTAAATAATTGAATTCTTTTGAGAATTTTTATTAAAAAAGTAGATTCTGAAAATATTTGAATTTCAACGAAGAATTTCATTATATTCGTGAAATGTAATTAAATTCTTACAAAAAAATTAAGAGAATAATTCCATTTTTCTAGGAATTTACTTTAAATTGTATTATAAAGAATTGAAATCCTCAGAAAAATTTTATAATTTATGAAAATAATGGAATTCTTACAACGAATTTTATCTATTTTTTTTAATAATTGAATTCATGTGAAAAATGTTATTACTTGTAAAAATAATTGAATTTATGCAACGAATTTTATTACATATCATTTAAATAATTATATTCTTTTGAAAACTTGTATTAAAAATGTAAATTTTGAAAATTTTTTAATTTCAGCGAAGAATTTCATTATTTGTAAAATGAACCTAATTTAATTTTTGCAAAAAATTTTTGAAGATAATTTTATTTTTCGAGAAATTTATTTAAAATTGTATTTAAAAATAATTGAATCCATGTGAAGAATTTTATTATTTATGAAAATAATTGAATTCTTGCAACGAATTTTATTATAGTTTTTGTAAATATATTAAAATTTTTTTTTTGAAAAATTTTATCGAATTTAAAATTTTTATAAAACATGAAGATATCAATCACTCCGAGTCGAAGACTGGGAGTAATTGATATCTTCATGTTTTATAATAATATTCTTGTAAGTTGTTTAATTTTGAAAAATGTTTGAATTTGAATGTTTTGAAGAATTTTAATTCCAATGGAAAAATAATAATTAAATATTACTTATTTAAAAATTTAGTTATTGATGTTTGCGAATGATTTTACAATTTAAGAAATTTGTAAGTAAATGTAATAGAATGTTTTTTTTGAGTATCTAATAATTTTTAGAGTGAATCAGAATATTCTTTATATGGTCAGGGAAAAAGACAAAATCAGTCAGGAAAAAGTCTGGAAATCAGGGAAAAGTTTTTAATTTTTTTATTAGTCAGTAATTTTTTTAATTAGTTGAAAACTTTTATTAATTTTAATTCTCAATATTATTTGAAGCGAAAGATTCGGTACAATGATAATAATAAGAAGAAGAAAAATAAGAATAGAAGTAAAATAGTAAATACTAAATTTTAGTAGTAAACAGGACCAAGTGTTGGTAAAAGTTTAAAAAGTAAATAAAAATTGGTAAAGATCTATTTATTAACAGTAGACAATTAAAAACTTGAAAGTAAAACTTAAAAGTGAAAACGTAAAAGTGAAAAATTAAAAGTAAAAAAGTAAAAGTATTACTGAGTAAAAATTACTATTTCTTGCAGCGTACATATTTTTAATAGACGGTGGAGCACATATGGTATGGACATCGCCATCATTGCCATATTTAAAGAGTGAAAATTCACACATTCCGCTGACAAAGGACAAAGCATCGTATCTCGTCTATCTTATAAGTTTCTCATCAATATTCGGTCCATTTCTCTACTTAATAACAACAAAACAACTAGGACGTAAAAATACAATTCTTCTACTTGGCACCCTACAATTATTATCATGGATCTTAACCGATATTGCGACAAATTTCGAGTTATTATGCGTGGCAAAATTAACATTTGGACTAGCTTATAGCGCAATTTGCAGTGCAATTCCAGTTTATATCGGTGAAATAGCAGATAAAAAAATTCGCGGCACATATTTATCGTTACTTATTATTTGCTCGAGTATTGGAGCATTTTTGATGGCAATATCCGGTGCATTCCTCAATCATAAAACAATGAATTTGGTGATGACAGTGACGCCGATATTTGGATTTATATTCTCAATTTTCATGACTGAAACACCGTATTATCATTTGATGAGGGGCTATGAGGAGGAAGCTGTACAGGTGTTGATGAAATTGTCGTCAGTGACGAGACGTGAATTGATTGCCGACGATATTGAAAGAATGAAGAAGACATTGTTGGAGAATGAGAAAACTGAGAGGAATATTTTTCGTGATTTGTTTATTGATAAGGGGGGAAGAAAGGCTTTTATTATCCTTGTGATAACGGCATCATTCAGTGGACTTTCGGGTTATATTGCAATTCAGGCATTCGCTGAGGAGATTTTGAGTTACAGTAACTCGGCACTGTCGGCTAAACATGGAACAATGATTTTAACGGGAATTCAAATTTTTTCTGGTCTCACGTCATCGTTGTTGATTGACACTTGGGGTAGAAAGCCAACGTGTTTGGTTTCTGGTTTATTGTCGTCATTGAGTTTGGCGGTGGTGGGAGTTTTTTATATGTTTCAATATTTCTTTGAATTTGATCTGACATTCTTTACATTGGCGCCATTGGTGGGATTAATTTGTTTTACATTCTCGTGTAATATTGGTATTAATCCGATATCATTTGTCTATGTTGGGGAGATTTTTTCGATTCATTTAAAGGAATATGCGGCAATGACTGGTGGTATTTCCTTTTCAATTGGTGTTTTAACTTCGAATTATTTGTTGCATACGCTGAATGCAAAGGGTAATATTTATATGGCTTTCTGGATATTTTCTGTATTTTGCATTTTAGAGGGGCTCATTGTTTGGTTTTTCATGCCAGAAACCAAGGGGAAAAATTTGGAGGAAATTTTATTTTTGATGGGCTATAGAAAGAAGCGATCTGAAAAAAATAATGTTTGTTAGATTCGTTAAATTTATTATTCATTTGGGAATATTATTTTCTAAATATCTACTTTCAATTGTATAATTTTTTAACTCTTTAAGGACCAAATTGCTTTCAGGCAACATGAACATTTTTTTGTTAACACTAATTAATTTGAATTAGTGAATTAGTGAGGCAACATGAATATTTTTTTGTTAACTAATTAATTTTAATCAGTGAATTAGTGAAAAGTCGTCCACTAGTTCAAATCAGTGAAAATTTCCACTAATTGCTGGTAAAATTTTTCACCAAATTAAAAAAAGTTTTATTACTTTAATTTGTGTTTAAAAAATCGCTTTTTATTTCAATTTTTAAAGATATTTAAATACTGTTTTCTAAATTTGAATTAGTTAAAAATAATTAATTTAATAGTAAAAATCAGTTACTGATTCAAATATATAGTATGTAAATACAGAAATTAACAAAAAAATTATCGAATTAATAGAAATTTTGTGAAATTCAACTGAAAATAATTAAATTTGTTAAAGAATTTCATTAAAAACTTTTTAACAAATCGAATTTTCAAAGTATTTTAATTTAATAATTGATAAATAATTGAATTTTATAATGAGTCGCATTCTAATGTCTTCATGTTTCTTCAAATTATTATTAATACAATTTTAATCGAATTCTTCGAAATTATTCTTCAAAATTTTATTAAAATTCGTCGAAAGAATTCAATTATTTCTAGAAACTGTAAAAAAATTCTTCTCAAAAATTCAATTATTTCCATAAATAGCAAAATTCTTGAGATTTACTAAATTTTTTTGATTATTATTGTTAAAAAAAATTCTTCACAAGAATTCAATTATTTTTAAAAATTTCCATAAAATTCAAAAAACAATTTATTGTTGTAAAGAGGTTTCTCAAAAATTTCGAAAATAATTGAACTAATTTCAAGATTTTTAAAAATTTTTTTAAATAATTGAATTCCTCTAAAGAATATTAATTATGACAATAATTGAATTTGGTAAAAAATCTAAAATTATCAAAAATTCGAAAAACCAAATTTTTTAAAATTCAACATTTTTTCTTCTCTTTTATAGGATTTAGCTTCATTATTTTTGTGCTTTTGGAAAATACTTTACTTATTCAATAGTCTCGACTCTTTGGTAAAAAATCTAAAATTATCGAAAATTATCAAAAATTCCAAAAACCGAATTTCTTAAAATTCAACATTTTTTCTTATCTTTTATGGCATTTAGCTTCATTATTTTTGTGCTTTTGGAAAATACTTTACTTATTCAATAGTCTCGACTCTTTGGTAAAAAATCTAAAATTATCGAAAATTATCAAAAATTCCAAAAACCGAATTTCTTAAAATTCAACATTTTTTCCTCTCTTTTATTTCATTTAGCTTTATTATTTTTGTGCTTTTGGAAAATACTTTACTTATTCAATAGTCTCGAATCTTTGGTAAAAAATCTAAAATTATCGAAAATTATCAAATATTCCAAAAACCGAATTTCTTAAAATTCAACATTTTTTCTTATCTTTTATGGCATTTAGCTTCATTATTTTTGTGCTTTTGGAAAATACTTTACTTATTCAATAGTCTCGACTCTTTGGTAAAAAATCTAAAATTATCGAAAATTATCAAAAATTCCAAAAACCGAATTTCTTAAAATTCAACATTTTTTCTTATCTTTTATGGCATTTAGCTTCATTATTTTTGTGCTTTTGGAAAATACTTTACTTATTCAATAGTCTCGAATCTTTGGTAAAAAATCTAAAATTATCGAAAATTATCAAATATTCCAAAAACCGAATTTCTTAAAATTCAACATTTTTTCCTCTCTTTTATTGCATTTAGCTTCATTATTTTTGTGCTTTTGGAAAATACTTTACTTATTCAATAGTCTCGACTCTTTGGTAAAAAATCTAAAATTATCGAAAATTATCAAAAATTCCAAAAACCGAATTTCTTAAAATTCAACATTTTTTCTTATCTTTTATGGCATTTAGCTTCATTATTTTTGTGCTTTTGGAAAATACTTTACTTATTCAATAGTCTCGAATCTTTGGTAAAAAATCTAAAATTATCGAAAATTATCAAATATTCCAAAAACCGAATTTCTTAAAATTCAACATTTTTTCCTCTCTTTTATTGCATTTAGCTTCATTATTTTTGTGCTTTTGGAAAATACTTTACTTTTTCAATAGTCTCGAATCTTTGGTAAAAAATCTAAAATTATCGAAAATTATCAAATATTCCAAAAACCGAATTTCTTAAAATTCAACATTTTTTCTTATCTTTTATGGCATTTAGCATTCCCTGACTTCCATAATATCCCCTGACCGTTAGACACCCTGTATATGAGAATATTGAATTTTCGGGCAGAAATTTATTATTTAGGAAAATGATTGAATTCTTGGATTTAATTTTATTAAATTTTTTGAAAATAATTGTAATGTTTCGATAAATTTTATTTAATTGTTGTAAAGAAGTTTATTATTTTTAAAAATAGTTGAAGTCCTGCAAAGAATTTTGATAAAATTAAAAAAAAAAAGAATTGAATTCCAGAAAAGAATTTTATTATATTCTTTAAAATAATTGAATTCGATAAAGTTTATTTAATTGTTGTAAAGAAGTTTATTATTTTTAAAAATAGTTGAAGTCCTGCAAAGAATTTTCATAAAATTCTTAAAAAAAGAATTGAATTCCAGAAAAGAATATTATTATATTCTTGAAAATAATTGAATTCTTCGCAGGAATTTACTGAAATTAAAAATAAATTGAATTCCTGTGTAGAATTTTAATACCTTTGAAAATAATTGATTTTTTTGAAGAAATTTATTAAAATTCGAAATAATAATTGAATTTCTGCAAAGAATTTTTTAATTCTAAAAATATTTGAATTCTTGCAAAGAATTGTAGTAAAATTTAAAAAAAATAATCGAATTCCTGTAATGAATTTTATTACCTTTAAAAATAATTAAATTCTTCGCATGAATACTTATATTTAAAATGTTAAAAAATAATAGAATTTCTGCAAAGAATGTTTTATTTTTCAAAAATTATTGAACTCCTGCAAAGAATATTACTTATAAAAATAATTGAATTCATTTGAAGATCTTGATTTAATTTTTAAAAAATAACTGATTTCTCGCGATGAATTTAAATATTTTTAGAAAAATAATTGAATTCCTGAGAAGAATTGAATTGTATAATATTGCAAACAAGTGAATTCTTATTCAATTAGTTAGTAAGTGATTTTTTACTAATTTTAAATCTAAATTAATTCAAAAATTAAAGTTGATATAGAATATAAAAAATTTTCTTAATTGAATAATAACATAGTGAATATTTACTAATAATAATAATAGTTATAAGAATTGTAATAATATAATTATAATACGTCATGTACATAAGTTTAATTTAAAATCTTAATTTCTGAAGAGAATAAAAATTAATACAAAAAATAAATTACCTGTCTCTTAAAATTTTTCTATATAAAAATCTATTATTTTATTTAATATCAGCATCCACTTCCGTTGGTAATCTTTCCTTTTCATCCTACATTTCAGTTTCAATTAAAGAAGTTCATATGATATGTATTTAATTAATTTGAGTATTTTCTTTTTTCTTTTTTGTTATAATATTTGATCAGGTAAAATTGTCTTGATATAAAATCCCCAGTACATTTTGTCAAATTGATATTAAAAATTAAATCGTCTCTTTTATTTGCACAAGTACTTTTCTCTGTGGAAATTACAAAAAAGTTCACTATTCTTAGAGCGATTAGTCATTCTAATTATATTCTAATAATTTCTTAGAGTAAAAAGAAATTATAATTTTCAATTTTTTTGAAGAAAAAGATTACTAAAAATGAATGTTTATAAATTTTGTTATAAACAGTTTTATGTAAATATTTCCTTTTGAAGTAAATGAAATTATTGAATAATGGAATAATTGCGGAAATATTGTCGATTATTGGATTAATTTATTTACTACATGAATAATTGAGTGATAAATTGTGATCTGATGGTAAAAATTCTATTATATGATGATTATTCTAATATTGAAGTACAAAATAGATTTATTACATCGGTAGTTGGTTATGGAATTCAATCAACAAATGTTTAATTCGATAACAATTCTCTTCTAAATTTAATGAGTTAAATTGTAAAGTTGGAGTTAAATTAGAAATATTATAATTTCGTGTTTTTTGTTTGTAACTTTATGGAGAGTTACACAACTCGCTTAGGCGTTACGTATGATTTTATAATGTTTATCGAACGGTTTCTATCTTTTTGATATTAATTTTAAATTAACGTCACAAATGTGTTTATAGTACGAGAAAAGCGAAATTCAATGAAAACTTATACAACGTAAGCAATTTGTCGATAAGAGCAGTTACGAATATTTATAATTCTCTTAGATTTCTGCAATGTTACTAAAAAGTACATAACCAACTTTGTCTAATGGGTTGACAATTGTTTACAAGAAATTTTTCTATTAACTCTTGAGATGTTTCATCCTCCTCGCTTTTTGAAATTTTCACATTAAATTCTCCAGCTGGAACAAAATAAAAAATTTCAAAAATAATACGAGAGTAAAAAATTTTTCCAATAGAATATTTTTCACTTAGGTACAAAATAAGGAGAGAAATGGGAAAATATTTCATTGTATTGTTGTGAATTTTGAATTGAGAAGAAATGATAGACTTTGATATAGAAAATATAGAAATAAATCTATAAATTTATAGGAAATAATTTTTGAATTGATAGAAATAGATTTAAGTCGATAGAAATTTTATTAAGTGATTAAAATTTACTATTAAGTGTGTAGAAAAAAAAATATGAGGAAAAAAAATGAAGGGCGGGGGAGGAAATAATGTGAATGGAAAAAAAAGTAGCATAAGAAATGAAGATGGTATTGGTTTAGAGGGGAATTGTAAGAGAAACAATTATGGTATCAGGTTGGAAAAGCTGATGATATAGTCTCTTAAGATTAATAACAGTTAAAGATGACCCCGATTGTAGAAATCACCCTGTATAAATAGGAAAATCCTCGTCGAGGCGCCAGTCAACCTACGCGATTTAACCCCTTCCATAAGCGAATTTCAGACGCCCTTGTGCTTTGAGGTAACTTTGTAAACTTGGAAAAATATCGGAAGCTTACACATCTAAGCTTTCAATGTACCTTTCGGATAAAACTCGGAAACTATAGCCCTTTCTCTAGCCCTCTTTTGCAAATATTGATATGCAAACTTGCATTTATATATCTTAGGATCAAACTATAATAATTCTCTAGGGGGAAAAAAGACACATTCTCCCGAAAATAGAATAATTACTAAAATTAACAGTCTTCGAACTCGGTAATTAATTTTAAACAAGTGGCAAAAAGTAAAAAGTAAAAAAATAGCAAAAAAGACTGAAAAAAGTGGTAAAACAATAAATTGATTATTTTTTTTTCAAAAAATTTAATGAAATTTAATCCAAAAATTCAATTATTTCCCTAAATAATAAATTTCTTCGCGGAAATTCAATATTCTCATATATAATAAAATTATTTAAAGGGATTTTATAAATTTAATAAATTTAATAAATTTCACAGAATAAATTCAATTATAGTCATAATTAATATTCTTTGGAGGAATTCAATTATTTTTTTAAATTTTAAATAAAACTTGAAATTAGTTCAATTATTTTCGAAAATTTTGAGAAACCTCTTTATAACAATAAATTCAATTACTTTCAATAGTTACCTACAATATCATTTAAATTCCCTGAGAGAATTAACTTCTTTTCAAAATTTTAAATAAAATTCTTCGAATAAAAAATTTAATAATAATATATGCAAAAATTAAATTATTTTATAGTCAAAATTATATAATTTACAAAAATTATAACATATTTTAACAGAACTGTTATGTTTTAAATATAAACAAAAAAAAATCTTTATTAACGCAAAATTATGAAAATTAAAATAATTTATGAATATTTCTTACAGTGTTTTAAATTTTCAAATTAATGGAATTTTTTCAATAAATATAATAATTTAAACAAAACTTTTTAAAAAATAAAAAATAATTTCGAAAATTAGGAATGTAATCCTAATCCTAATCCGGAATGAAATTAATTAAATTTTTTTGACGAGTTTTTTTTAAATTTTTTGAAAATAATGTTTTTTTTAATAATTTTAATTAAAAATTTGGAAAATAATTGAATTAAACAAAGAATTTTTTCAATTTTTAAAAAATTTGATTAATTCAATTTTATTAAAATGTATTGATACTAATTGAATTTATGCAAAGAATTTTACTATTTATAAAAGTAATTGAAGCCTTACAAAGAATGTTATTATTCATGAAAATAATTAAATGTTTGCGTAGAATTTTAAATAATAAATAAATAATAATTTTAATTTAAAAGAATTTAAAAAAAAATTTTGAGAATAATTTAATTCATGTGAAGAACTTTATTATTTATGAAAATAAGTGAATTTTTATAAAAAATTTTATGAAAATTATTGAAAACAAATCAAATTATAATAGAGAATTTTATAACAGTTTTTGAAAATAATTTAATTCTTTTGAAGAATATTATAAATTTTAAAAAATTATTGGATTTTATTATTTATAAAAATAATCGCACTCCTGCAATGAATTTTATTATTGATGCAAAAATTGAATTCTTTCGAAGAATTTTATTATTTCGTTATTTAGGGGAAATAATTGAATTCTTTGAATATTTATTAATATTTTTTTAAATAATTGAATTCCTGCAAATAAATTTATTATTTATGAAAATAATTGAAATATTTTAAAAATATTATTAAAATTTTCTGAAAATAATTTAATTCTTCAGTAGAATTATATTGAAATTTTCAGAAATAATTAAAATTATTAAAATAATTTTTAAACGCTTTTTAATTTAAACCAATGAAAAATGTAATTTTATATGAAAATGGTTTTAATTGAATACTGAATAGAAAAATACTGTATATCTTTCTTTTTTGAATATTGAAAAACTCTCCTGTTGGAAAGATAAAAATTGAGAATATTTTTTTTTCTGAATTTATTTTTAGTTTCGAGAAGATTAATTACAGATTATTTTAAAATAGATTATTCATCGTTTATGAAGTGAATGGTGAAAAGGAATGATGAATAAGATGCAAAATCATTCTATTCTGTAGTCTAGAATATTTCTCTCGGGAGAATGGGAGACGAGTAAAATGTTATTACCCTTTGGTTTAGCGTTATCGATCCCCAACAACAAAGCACGCAATATCTGCAATACCATTATGATTACGCTTCGTTACATTAAAGTTTCAATTTTTGCATTACACCTAATTGAACTTTCAAGTATTATTGTCATTATTGTGACTATACATTTTTTTTCCTCCCTCATTATCAATTTCCTATTATAATTTCTCAACGTTAAAAACAACAGAAAATCACTAATTTGAATATAAATATCTACAAAAAACGTAGCATTCGATAAATATAATTTAATTATTTCCGAAATTTATTCAGTTTAAATTTAATTCAAAAAATATTTTCTATACAAAAATTTATTTGATTTAAATAACCGATTACCTGTCTATCAAAGAAATATTTACTTGAATAAAATCATTTTTATTTAATTTAATTAAATTGTATTTGAACCAACAGTTTCAGTATTTGAAGCATTTTTTTTCTGTATATTTAGAAAAATCGAATTTTACCCAAAGATTTTTTTTTAGAATTGCTATTTTATTTCTTGATTCGCCCTTTACTGGTTTGTCTAATTAGAGAAGTTCTAAGTCGAACGAGAAAAGAGAGAAATTATAAAATAGAAGACAAGAGATGAAAGTTTTTAAATCAAGATGAGAAATAAAAGTCGAAGCCTTAGAGAATTTCTGAATTTGTGTTTAAGAGTTTTGTTTGACTTTTTTTTGCCTTTGTTTTGAAGACAAGGAGTAGTAGACCTTTCTTTTTTTTATCTTAATTACGTTGATGAAAAGACCTGGGGCTGATTTTAGGAATTTGTGCGACGGTCATAAACTAAGAGATCGGAGAATGAATCTCACGTAAGGTTGATTTAATTTAAAAAAGAGAAAAGATTCGATTTAATCGAAAAACACCCACTGGAAAATTATTTCTTACGTCGTTATAAAATATATTTCCACTCTTGAAACTATCGAAAAGGTTTCACATTCAATTTTATCTTTGATTTTCCCCCAAAAATACAAGCGTAATTAAAACGATTTAATGTGATTTTTGTAAAGAGATTTTAATTTTATGCCGCGAGTGAAGTCAAAAAATTTCTCATTGCATAATTAATTTTTTCAGAACTTTTCTTCTCCGGGAAAATTGCGTAGGTGAAAAGTTCACAACGTTTCTGATCCAACGAATCAGGAAAAAAATATTTCTTATTTTTTTTGATTTTTTATTAAAAATATATTGTTACGAAAAAGTTTTTAGCTGAATATTTGAATAGAAAATTATTTTTTTTTTGTATTCATTGGTTAATTTTAAAACGTGGTGAACTTCACCAACGTAGAACATTAAATTGAAAAGGTTATTTTAAATTTTAAGATTTTTAAAATGAAAATTTAATTTTCCGCCTGTTTTATTTAATGAATTTTTTTAAGAAACATTTTTATTCTTAGAAAAGAATTTTTTTATTCAAAAAGAAAGGTTTTTATTCTCAAAAAAATTTTTTTTCGAAGTCAAGAAATAGAATTTTCTTCAAAGAAATTAAAGTGAAAAATACTCACGATTCCAACATTTGACAAATGGATCTCCAATCATTCCTTCGTGACAATAACAAACAGGAATGACTCGATGTCGTAATTTGCAAAAAGTGTTAATTCCACAGCTTCCTTCGCAAAGATTCATACATATTGAATCAAAACACGCTGGTTTATGATCTGGACAATCTTCATGTTCTAAGCATTCACCTATTAAAATAATAAAAATTAAATTATTTTGAATATCATTTTGAAAAAATTTTTATTCACAAATATACTTACGTCCCAATGTGTAACTTTCGGCTCCAATTAGAAAAATCGTCAGGAAAGTAATAAGTTTTACAATATAATTCATATTTCAAATTTGCAAGTTAAATGAAAAATATTGAAAAATTTGTATACTATAAATTCACTTAATTAAATCATTTGATCGTGATTGTATCTTAATTTTTTATACTTGTCTAAATTAACGTTAACCGACTGTAATAAAAAAAATATATAGTATTAATTGATTAAGTAAATTATTAATTATTAATACTATAAATATGTTGCATTAATTCCGAAAAATTTCATTCAAATAATCGTTAATGACTGAGTTGAGAATTATTGCGCCACTAATTTTCAGCAAAAAGGGAAGATATGAAGAAAACTATAAATATTTGAACTTTGACCTAATTTCATCTCAATACTCTCTAGATTGTAGTTTTCAATTTTTAATTATTCTAATTTAATAACAGAGTATTAAATTAGAAAGAAAAAAATCTAATTTCAATATTTTGATGCAATAAAAAATAATTCGGTATTTGCATTTATAATAAATGTTTAATTACAACTTATAAATAATTTCCAATATTGTAAATTATAATATTAATCTACAAATATAGAATTATAATACGTGTGTATAATGTAATTGTGAAGTTAAAGTGACAAATTGTTTTGTTTCGATTGAAAGAAAATGAATCTGAATACAAAAAAAAGGTTTATTTTTCAAAATCAAATCAACTGGTACTTTTTTTTCCCCATAATATATTATGTATAATTTATGACTGATGCATTTATTTCGTCTAATTTGCTGTTTTAGCACTACACATACCTTTTAGTCTCTTTGAAATTAAAAAAATTACTAAAAAGGACACCCTCTGAATAATACACTTTCTTAAAGAAATTAATAAATTTCAGCTTGCACTTATGTAGAAAATAAATATTTTCACTCCAATAATTAATATAATGGCCTGGATCGGTAAATCAACTATCGACATGTATTATTACTCATATTCAAAAATTCTTCGTAAGCTGAAGTAAGCTCATCTTCTTCGTCGTCCCATTTTGCCAACTCGTTTTCAAGCTCAGTATCACTGGAAAATAAATAATTTGGTTATTTTTCATCGTTTATCGGGGGCTAGTCTTTTGTCAAAAAAATCTTGTACCGAAAAAAGTTTTTGGTAATATTTTTTGGTTAGAGACTTTTTTTTTGGGATAAAGTACGAATAAGAAATAAAGAGGGAAAATAAACGAAAAAAAAAGAAATACAGTACGTGTCATACTCTTCTAAGTCTGGAGCATTCTCGGAAATTTCTTGTAAAAATTTGCTCTCTTCAGCGGATAGAATATTTCCATCAGGCCCGTAAAAGACCGGCTCATTAGGCTGTTGGATCGCTGATTCAGTATTTATTTCCGTCTCGGGTTTCACGGAATTGCCCCAATTATCGTTTCGTAAATTATTTACGCCCTGCACCATTCGTCCCACGTGTGAATCAACGAAGCCTTCGGTGACGAGTTTTGTTAATTTCTGCATCACGAATTCCATTTCTTTCTTGCTGCTTGAATCACTTTCCAGTGTTGGTCCAGCTAACTGGAAATTAGAAATAAAAATTATGGTAATTCAAAATGGTAATTTTCCTTTGTATTTTCCTTTTCTTTTGTAATATTTGTCAGAGATTCTAACCTTCAATGCTTGGCAGATATTTTTGGCAGAGTTTGGAGTTGGATTTATTAGAACGCCGGATATAAGTTGCACTAATAATTTACCCAACGAAACAGCAAATGAAGACTCCATTTGAATGACCAATTCAGCGAGGAATAATATCAAACCGTGACATTGTTTTTCCTCCATGTCACTGTGATTTTTTGCTTGCTGCCAAGTTGTTGACAACGAATCTGTTTGCTCCTGACAACTGAATTGAGAAAGGAAAAAAAATTGTAGCGATTGTAAATTCGTGAATTATAGTGTTTATAATTTAAAGTAGTAAATTAAAAAAAGTAAGTAATCAATTTACCGTGTTAGTAGCATATCTTTGAAAATAGAAGGAGAAACCTCAGAGGGAGTGACAGCAACAAGACTCGTACAAATTCTTGCACCACTGTATCGAAAGTTCGTTTCGTTGATTGACTGAAAGGAATAGTTTTCAATTATAAATAAAAGAAATTAATATTCTATATTTCGTTTACGTTGGTAAAGTTAATAACGTTTATTTTTGACAAAGTTCTTTGAGAACTTTCAAATACATTTGTTTATTATTCAATTTCACAAAATTTCATCGATCATTCTGAAATTCTTCAATTAAATATATTAGAAAATAAAAGCTTGAAATAATTTCAAAAACAATTGAAAAAGTTAACTTTTTCAAAAAAATTAATTCTACAGTTTTGTTAATTAAAAGTATGAAAAATTCAAATTTTCAAAGATTTAAATTTGAAACCAGAAATAAAATTTTATTCAATTATTATCTAAAATTTTAACTGAAATTCATTTTTAAATCAATTTTTATTAGAAAATTCTACGAGAATTCAATTATTTAAATACAAAAATAAAAAGAAATATTCAAGTACTCGATAAATTATTATTTATTGAATAATTGAATGTTTCCTAACATTGAATACTCATAAAGCATTTCATCAACAAATTTTTAAATAATTCAATTATTTTGACGAACTTTAATAAAATTTCCAATAATAATTGCATTTTTTAAATTAATTTAAAATTGTATACCTGTTGAATAATCATACTAGCGATTTCCTGCGATTGGCTAGGTTGATCCAAATACGGTTTTAAATTATTCACAAGACGATTTAACAGCGCGTCGAATCGTCCGGGATCTAAAGTCAGAGTTTTCATCACATGATCAAGATGTCTTAACGTCCCTTCATAATCTGCTAATTGATGGTTTATCTCTCTTCTTGTTGTCTGTGAAACAAAATTATATTTTAGAAATAAAATTAAATAGAACTATCAAATTAAAAAATAAGTAGAAATCTTGAAAAAAAAATAGAACGAAAGTAAACAGACTTTATCGAAAATAATTAAAAATAGTCTATTTTTTGATAACTTTTGTAATAAATTCAAAAGTATGATTTATTTTAATGAAAGAAAAAAGCAGACCTGATGTTTATCAACATAGTCTCCAGATCCTCCATCCTGATATCCGTAGTCTTGACTCCCATGTTGGTAATTGAAACCTTGATATTGAGAAGCATCTTCATATGGTGGATACATCATTTGTCCATGCTGCTGTTGACCTGAGTATTGAGATTGCTGAAAATGCCCTCCAGATGATGACTGATGACGACGTTGATAATTAGATTGTGCAGGTGGACCAGATTGTCTAGCCATTTGTAAACGATCAGTAAGAGAAGAACGACCACCGTAAGAAGACTGATTCTTTTTGAAAAAGAAAAAAACCAAATTCATAAATTATAATTACATTTACAATAATTTTAATATTCTTTAAATATTCATTTATTACTTACGCCTGAATTATAACTCTGAGGAACGAATTCCTTAGCAGAGGCGGAAAGTTTGGAGTTTTTCACAACTTCGGCGTTGACTGCACTCTCTGGAATTATGAAAAAATGCATATTATTTTGCAAAAAAGACAATTTTCGAATTTTGTTGAACATTTTTATTTCACTGGTGAATTTAAAATATTTAGAAAATAAAATGTTGTATTTAAAGGTTATGTTACTAACGTCTATCTGTCATGTTGTCGAGCTCAATTATTTCTTAATTCTGAAATATTCAATTGATTCAAACGGTACAAACTACAAAGATCACTTGGATAAGATTAAAATTTGAACTTTGAAGAGAGATAGAAAAAAAACAAAAGAATAACCATATTTCGGTATATTTATGACTATTTATTTACCTGTTGCTGGAGGTTGTGCCGTAGCATCTTGTGGTCTTCTGAGAGGTTTATTCTCGAGTTTTCCACCTGAGCCACGTCCACGTCCACGACCTATTCCACGATTACTATTATTGGGAAAACCAGTCCCATCTGATCCGGAATTATCCATTTTCTTCACTTTTGTTTTTTTTGGGAAGTTAAATCTCAAGAGTATGTGTTTGGAAAAAAATCAATACAGTTCAGGTATGTGATGAATGAAAAAAATTTATCACTTAGTTATTAGAGTAAAATTTAACAACGGGTTGGAATTTTAAGGAATAGCACATGTTAGAATAAATTGTGCACTAATTATTAGTAAATTGATAAAATAACGATTGCAAAAAGGTGTGTCATGAATAAATTTCAGTGTTCAATTGAAACACGAAAATTCGGCACTCAATTAAACGTGTAGTTTAAGTTGTAAAATGAAAGGATTTATTTCACCTTTCACCTTCTATTTCAAGTTTCAAATGTTTAGACTAGATGCAATAAATGTTTTTAGTGAATGGGTGGGAAGCAAAACACACTAATGCATTAATTACAACACACTTTTGCCCAGTAACTTAAACATCTCTTCTCTACAGTCGAACGTTACGAGCAGTAGAAACTGAATTAACATATTAACAGTTAACCGGTATTTAATATGAATACCAGAAGATTTTCCGGTTCTTTATAGTAGGTCAAAGCTCCATTTATCAATTTTGATACACTGTAACTGATACATATTAACAATGCACTCACACTTGCGCTAATGTATTTTCTGTCATGGTTGTATACAAAGCAGAAGGGTCGCTACCATTTTGAATAAAGCCTTAAGCTTCTTGTCTAGTTACTAGATTGGCAGCACTGTGTCGTCTAGTAAATTCCAGTCTTTCAACCAATCACAGTCCTTGTACAAGAAACAGGGGCTGCGTTCAGTATGTGAACCCGCCATAAGGTCAATTTAATCTTTTCGTTTGTTAAATTTTTCATTTAAGATAAAATAGTTAACAATAATAAAATAAATTTTTAATTGTTTAAAGAATTTGTTATTATTTTTAGAAATCGAATATAATAGAATAAAAGAGTTAATATTATAAAATTCCACGTGATAGGAGAAGCTTATTCAAATTTTCGCGCCTGTTTTTGAGAGACGTCTAGCGGCGAAAGGCGGATTTACATCAAATTAAAAAAGCAGTTCGTTCAGTCGTGTACTTGTGTTGAATCGTCGTATTTTTCCGTACTTTTTTTTGAGTTATCTCTTGTTTTTATTGAAAATTTACTAATTATCGAGTAACCTGCTGTTCGCTTATTATTTCGCGAGTTATTATTCTCTTATTCTTCTTCTCATTTTTCTCAAATAAGTACATTTCTTGTCGATTGAAAATCGCCGTGTCTTTCTGAGTGTCTTGTTTGTATTTTTTTTTAGAAATAATTGAATTTTGAAAAGGGTTAAAATTAAAAATTTAATGTAAATTAATCTTTTTTAAATTTAATTTAATGTAAATTAAAATCTTTGAAAATTTACAGAGTAAATTGTTTTAAAATTGTCATTATTACAAACAATGACCTTGATCGTCGTGTTAGTTCCTGATTCCCGCCAATTTGTTTACTTTTCGACAAAATGCGCCATTTTTCTGAATTATAAATTTGCAAAATAGTTTTTTTCAAAATTTACAGTAGTGAGATTATTTTGAACGCGAATAAACGTGATTCGGTTAAGCGGGAGTGTTCGATAGTAATATTTGCTTGCAAATTTGGAAAAAATAACGTCAAATTTTTTTGTCGTGGAATTGTCCCATTTTTTGTAATTTAATTTGTGTGTAAAATTCGCTATTGTTATAGATTAATTATTTTTGCGATCTTTTGATTTAAAAAAAAGTGTGTTTGTGCATTCGACATTAGGAATTTTTGGAGCAGCTTTATATCTGAGAATAAAAAATTGTTAGGTAATTTAATTTTCTTGGTAACTTTTATACTCAAATTTGACTCAGAAAAAATATTTAATAATCAATTGTTAATAATCTGGTTAAAAATACATAAATAAGGAAAATATTACAATATTATTAATAAATGATAAAAATAATAAAAGTTGTACATAAAATAATTTAAGAAATAAATAAATTTACTTTTTTTATTAATAATTATTTTTTAAATATTTTTCAGGCAGTTCGGAGGCGTTTTCAAGGACAGGACGAAGGATATCAGGATGCTGAGATCTTCAGAAAGGTATTTAAACGCTCTTCAACATCGCTCCTTCATGATAGGAGAAAAGGTTAGTCGATTTAAAATTAATTCCTTCCCTGTTTTTTTTTTAAATAAAAAATTAAAATTGTCAACAATCGAAATGTTCTTTTATTTTAATTATCATAGTTTTTAATTCTTTGCATTTAAATTCATGGTTATTAATTCTTTGGATTTAAATTATTGTAATTAATAATTATTAATTATTTGGATTTGAATTTAAATTATAGATTTAATTAAAAAGTGGTTACGAGTAAAAAATAGTTATTTGTTTACAAAGTATTGTAATTTTTGAAATTTAAATAATTTTCGACAGGGAAGGAAATTAATTGACATTATTTATTTCTTGTTGGTATAAAAAGCGGAGAATATTCCTCAAGTGGAGGAAGTAAAAAATCCCTCAAACGAAGAGGGAGTAAAAAAATTCCTCAAACGGAGGAAATAAAAAAAAATATACTATATTATACTTAGGTCCCCTATTATTTTCTCTTTGAAATGAATTATAATTTCGAAATCGCAATTTTTTCGGTTTTTCGTGAGATGTGGTTACCTATTTTTTTTGTGTAAATTAAATTCAACGAATAGGAAAATTACGTCGCTGCAAAAGAAGACCAAAAAAAGTTAAGTTTCTATTGAAAAAATTTTTTTACTCGTAAATCTGAATTAGTACAAATTTGAACTGATTTAAAGTACCTATAGCAAGTGTTTTTTTTTCTAATAATAAATTTATCAAATTTTGAAATAATAAATTTAAATGTTTTTGTATAAGAAATGTAAAATAAATTTCAATTGTTCGTATAATAAATTTTATTTTTTGGGTAATAAATAATAATAAATTAAAATTTTTGCTATTATAAATAAATATAATAAATTTAAATATCTAGTGTAACGAATTTATTGAAAAAATTTATTTTTATTCGTTAACTTTTAATAATTTGTAAAAAATATTCAGTAGAAAAAAATCAGTTATTCAGAATTTAATAAATATAATTATAATTATACAAAATCTATACAATATTATCTATTACTAATTCAGATTTGAAGTATTTATTTAAACTTTATAAATTAATGGAAAATAATAATATTTCAGAAAAAATACAAGACGAGTTAATCCATTGTTGGAAAATGAGTAATCTGCCTAGTCGATAATTCGAAATTTTGTAAATTGGAATCTATCCAACAGATGGAATTTAGTGTTCAAGTACGTATTTTTTAATTTCAAATGATTATTTTTCTTTTTGAAAAATACGCCCAAGAATTTCACTCTGAAAACTAAAAAAAAAAACTAAAAATAATGTTTCAAATACAATTATTTTGATTTAAAAAAATTATTTGATTTAAGTTAATATTTATTTTGATAAAAGACAAGTAATTGGTATTTTTAGTTAAATAAATTTTACTCAGTGTAAATTTTAATTAAAAAAATTATCTTATATTAATTTCAATAACTAATATAATTACCTTCTATTGATTCTAATAATTAATATGAGTATATTACACAGAAAAAATTTATTTGATTCAAATAAACGATTATTTGTCTATTATCAAATAAATATTTAATTAGATGAAATTTTTTTTGTGGATTCTTAATATATTAATTTAAATAAATATTTATTTGTGGCAAATAAATATTTATTGTAGTGAAATAATTTTGATTTAGGTCAATTAAATGTTATTTCCATCAAATAATAAAATTATTAGTTCAAATTTATTTGATTTAAATAAAAATTATTTAATTCAAGTAAATATTTATTTGATAATATAGACATCTTGTATAAATTTGATTAAACTACCCCGCATTAAATTACCATTATTGTTATTATAGAAAATTAGTCAAAATTTCTTCAAAAAATTTATTTACTACTAAAAAGATGTAATTTTGTTTCATTTCCCTTAATAACTAATATTAAGGTGTTCGCGTAATTTATGCTCATTTGCATTTTTCCATAAAACATTTTTGGACTACTTATATATATATAAAGGCATATAAAAATGCATCGATCTTCGATAAAAGGTTCTGATAGCGTTTTCTGTAGTTTACTTTTCTCCTTTTGTTTCTAATCTTTCTTTTTATCAGGAGAAGCGTTCATATTCTCTCCCAAAAAAAAATGTCTGCATTTTCGTTGAATAACAATTAACAACAATTGGAAATAACAGTTCAGTAACTAATTTTCCCCTCATAGTACAAAATAAAAAGGCATTCACAATTCCCCTTTTCTTTTTCTCTATTGGAAACTTTTTTTCTTAATTTTCCTCGAGGTGGAAAAATTATTCACTCTTCATATTTTATGATGAAAAAAAAATATTATAATAAATATTACGTTTTTTTAGTGAAAAAATTATTGTAATTAATAATAGGAATATTTTTTTTGTTAAAAAAATATAATAAATATTTTAATTAATGTAAAGGATTAGATATATTCCTAAAGTACTAAGCATTCATCATGTGAATGAAATTTATATTTATTTCTTTTTAAAATTAAAAATTTTATGATAATAATAAAATTCAGATATTCTTTAAATTTGAATTAGTAAATTTCACTAAAAAATTAGTAGAAATTATTATTTATTAGTAAAATTTACTAATTCAGAAGCAAAAATGTAGTTATTAATTCAAATTATTAACATTTTTACTAATTCAAATCTATAGAGAAGTCTTGTAAAAATATCTAATTATAAAGTTTTTAATTATTTAAATGTCAAATCTAAGCTTTTAATTTTTATTACAATCATGGTAATTTGTGGAAAATATTTTTCAGGAAAAATATTTCGTTGATTTGAACATTTAAAGCTTGTGAATCATATAGTACAATTTTTTTTAATATAGTGGAACTTAGAGGAAATTTTTATTTTTCGATATACAATTTTTTTATTATAGTATTTAGTATCAGGAAAAATAAAAAGGAATTTCTTTATAAATTAAAAAAAAGAACACTTTTATTTTTCGTTTGAGTCGCAAGGGATTAAATTTCACTTTGAGGGTAGAGGAGAAATAAGAGCAGGTTATTCTCATTCATACTCTCGTCTTTTTTTCTCTCTTTTTCATATTATATCTTCCTTTTTTTCTATAAACCTACACTTATATATTCATCAGGTCGTGGAAATTTCGTCATTAAGGCAAATTTGCAAAGCTTTCAACGTGAAATATTTTTATTTCAAACGTGTTTTTACATTTTCCATTCAATTTATTCATTTCAATGTGTATATACCTACGTCGAGACAAACTGAAATTATTTATTATTTCTCTTTTTTTGGGCAAAAAATCTTTTCAGTTAAATTTTAACATGAAAAATTTATTTTTTTCAATTCTCTCAACTCTCTACCGATGTATATTTTTTGGTTGTAATTTCATGTCTGTTATTCCATATTTTTTTTAATTCAGATTTTTATTTGTTTTTTTTAATAATACATCTATTGTTTTTTTGCTTTAGAATATTTTTTAAATGGAATTTATTTTCATTTGTTTTTACGCAATATTATTCTTTTCTTTTTTAATAAAATTTTTAACCGACTGGATTTTTTTTAATTGGTTGAATATTTTTATTCTGGAAATAGGTTTTTTT